AGTCAACAAGAGATCAAAACCAACTTAGATCCATCATGGGATGTCTCCAAGACCATTCGCTTTTCATCCCGAACTTCGCCACAAAAGCCCAACCACTGTTTGCTGCTCAGTGGACTGAGAAATAGAAATGGACTACCGAGTGTGAACAAATTCTGCGTGGAATCATTCAGATGATAACTGACCGACCAGTATTCGCCTCGTTTTCTCCGAAGAAACATCCAATTTTTGTCACCGACGCATCAGACGTGGGCATTGGTGCCGTACTCGGACAGGATGGATGTCCGATTGTCTGCATCTCTCGTCTATTGAACACGGTAGAGCGAGGATATTCGCAGACGCAGAAAGAAGCACCAGCTACATATTGGACCGTCCGACGCCTACACAAATACCTGTTTGGATTGCGTTTCACCATCGTAACCGATCATCAAGCGTTGCAATATCTAATCACTCCACAAAAGTCGATTTCCAAACCGACAGCGGCGATGATTCAACGATAGAGCATTGCATTGGCTGCCTACGACTACGACATAGTGCACCGTCCGGGCAAAACAATTCCTCAAGCCGATTTTCTCTCGCGGTGGTCCAAATTCGGCGGCTAAGAGATGTCATTTCACTGCTACTGCTACCCCGGTATTACGAGAGGAGTTACGTCGATGTATCAAAAGATACTATGCCTAAATCATGACAGCCCTATCAAAAGGATGGCGTTCCGACCTGAAGCGGAAGTTTTCAACATTCTGTGCACATTGCGAAGAAATCAGCGTACAACCTGACGGAATGAATACTCTGGCGTAACAATCGACTGATCATCCCACCTCCACTACGAAAGGCAGTGCTAGAAGATCTGCACAAGGGCCACTTAGAGGTGGAGAAGATGAAGTCGTTGGCACGACAGATGTGCTGGTGGCCCGGTCTAGATGAAGACATTGGTCGAACCGTTAAGAACTGTGAAGCATTCCTACAAAAGCACAGGTCAAAACCAAAGAATTGAGCACCATGACCGGAAAGCTGCATACCTTGGTGACGTGTGCACGCCGACTTCTGTGAACCATTGCTCGGTCATTATCGCGGACTACTACTTATAGATTCGCACTGAAAATGGCCTGAAGTGTTTCTAACCAGCACACCAACCACGTCGTTCGTGATGATAGTACTACGAAAGTGTTTCAGTCGAGAGGGTGTCCCACAA